TTTTTCTTTCTTTGCCTTCTCCGGTAGATATACCTGTTAACCTTCCTTCACAGTCGTCTTATGGAGAGAATATCCTACTTTACTGTAAAGGTTCAATACTGAAAAATATACTACTTTACTATAAAGATTCAGTACAGTCAATTAATTTCTTGATCAAAATTAAATTGTGCAGATTTGGGTCGTTGCTAAGAGAGTCGTTAATATAACGTGAGGTAAATTCACAAGATTCAAGCTTATGCATTTTTAATATTAAAGTTGAATAGTTTTCGTTATTAAAACTATAAAAAAATAATAAATAATATACCAGCTTATTCACAATAAACCTAAATCTGAAGTTACATCTTTACGATGGTGTTTGAGTTTATCCGTAGCCTTGGATAAAACCTAGTTGTAGGTACTTTTCTTTTCGATATTATTACGACGAGAAAAATGAAGCTGTTAACATCATTATGAGCAGTTTCATGGAAATAGAGATATTAACTGTTTATCCTGGTTTTGTCTACAGCCCACAAGACATCTTCTTCAACTAAGGTGACCTTGAATCCAGGAAAAGGTGGATTACCAAGTGTGAAAGTCACATACAATAGGTATGTTTGAAATATTAAGATTCACCATAAAATCTTTTTTTTTTCTATCCTTGTCAATAATTATATAATTTTTATCCCATCTTTAAAACACTGTTGGATGTGGTTCTCACCCGGAAGATGCGTTAACGATGTTAAGAAAGCTTTACACGATTATTATAAAAGAACCAGATTATCTAAACTCCTTCTCCATCCTACGTATTTTCCTGGTATCATTAAAATCTTTTTTAAATACTACAACAGATATTTTAATTAAAATATAGTTTACTTCTGAAGCGAGTTCAAGTTCGTCCACAAGCTGACAAATGTTTTTGTCAGAATTACTATGTTTTCTCACTAAAGTATTTGTGTTACCTTCGAGAACAAGCAGCGATGTTGTATAGCTTTCTATAATGTAAACAGTTCTGTAGTTATTATAAACACGGGGAGAAAACGTGACAAAATGTTCCTATAATATCAGAGGCTACAATTATGTGTTATACAATAATTCAGTGAGCAGCAAGTGCTCCTTAAGCATGAAGTTAAAGTATTTCGCAGTTTACTTTTACCAGTATTAAATACATGACATTACTGCTAGGCTTCCCAATTACGTATAGCCCTTTTCTATTACTATAAAAATCCAGTTTTCCTATCAAATTATTAAAAGCTGACCAGTGATGCGACAGTAGACAAAATTACATCGAAACTTTAAACGTAATCCACCAATAAAAGCGGGCCTCTCTAACAAATACCGGGTAGCCCTTTTACAATTCAATGTATTACCCTGATTCTAAACTAATTTTATAAACGTCATGGATTATTAAATTTTACTTGAAAAGATGCCTTGTATCTTTCCTGATTCAAATGTAATGCTGTAAACTATAACAGGCTTGAAGTAATAATTTCTGGAATTCAGCACCACTAACACACTATCAAACCTTTCTCTGCAGACCTCCAAGCTACAGCAGTGGACAGATTGATGGTCTCCTGACCTCTTCTCACCAACACGTGCGTACTACTACTACTGTAGGACAACGAGATGTAGGATCATCTCCTAACTCGTATGAGATTCCTCCACGTGGATCCTCAAGAAGTTCCCACTACAGTGATGATTCAACTACCTCTACTACCAGTCCCTACTTCAATAGCGAAAGTCCAACTCCGGAAATGGGTCAGCTAGCAGATTCCTCCAAACCACAGTTTTATTTGCCTGGCAAACGTGCAAGAACTCAGCCTTCCATTGGTACTGACAGCTCCTCTGAATTCTCTGAAGGAGAAAGTCTAACAGGTTCTCAAATTCCTAGTCATACCAAAAAACCCAGTCCTCGAAAGGTGTACTACATGTTCGAAAACTTGGAAGAGTCTATTACAACAGCCAACCTTTCTCGGTTGTATTCTTCAAATGCTTATGACTCTGGCTTTAGCCCCGAGTCACCAGAAACTACCTTAGTAATGTCAGGAGATGACCTTGGAGAAACTAAATGTTTCAGAAAATATAAGATAAAAGAAAGCATTCAATCTGCCAGACCAGTTTCAAGTAAAATAATAACAGGTTCACTTTCTTCTATTGCTAATATACCAAGTTCTAAGTTGAGACACACAAAAAAACCAACATCAGCTGATCAAGTTGGTAAGAATACAACAATACACTACAAATCTCAGAGTACAGAAAATTTGGACTCTAGGAAATACAGCAAAAAGTTGCATACTTACCAGGAAAACAGTTTCAGCTTTTACAGTAGTAGTCAAAAAGGAAGACAACCCTTGCCAGACTCAAACTGTACATTCAGTAGCCTTCCAAGGAGTTACTCTCAGAGTAGTAACATGAGAGAATCTGGCTCATTGCTAACTAGAAACTCTCCTGGGCAACTTTCCTACAAACCACCCACAGATTTTCTGACTAAACTGGGTGCAGGAAGCAAAGCACAGGCATTCAGGCACTGTGACTCTAAACATTCAGTGGGTCCTGATTTTCATCACCTTCCATTTGTAGGAAGCACAGCTCTATCTCCCTATAAAACTATTACAAACCTGAAGATCAGAAGCACAGAATCCAGCCTTCCAAATACGTATCCCACTAAAACAGTCTTCGTAGCTAGCAAGATGCATACACTTCTGAAGGACATTGATTTATATACTGATCATCAGTTCCTCAAGGAAATGCAGAAATTTATAGATAGCTATAAAGACAAAAAACTAAAGGAAGACCTCGGTGAACTAGAAATTCAAGCTCCAACTGACAGTATCTCTTCAACAACAGCCATGACCTCTTCTCCAAATTCTGAGCATCGTCCAAACCGAAGACCCAACTACACCCAGCCTTCTCCAAAAATACAACTTAGAACAAGACAAGGAAGTCAGGGAGGGTCCACAAAGATTCCAATACCCATTTGGTACAACAAATAACTATTGTCATTGTAGAGAAGACATGTGATTGCAACTAGACTTAGAATTAACACATGCTAAGTGAAAAAATGTTTATTTCCAACATAAAGTAACTAGTCTCCACAGCTACACTTTGCACCCATTATGTACAAAGAAAGTTACCAAATGATACTTTGTACATTAAACATTATAGACTGTCCTTTGCAAATGCAGATAGCTGTTTATTGTACTGAAGTACAGGTGGATAAAAAAAAAAGGTAAGCTTCTATAGTGATGTAAAGACTGCTTGACAACATTCCCACAAAAAGATTTGAGTTGGATGCCTTTTAAATACCACTAAACTTAATTTTCTTTTATGTAAATATTTGTGTCTAAAAAATACTCATTAAAATAATAATGAAGTCAATGATTAGCAAATAATAGCTTAAAATACACAAGTTCTTTCTCATTCAGAGTCCAAGAAAACAGTTAGTGAAAATGAAACCTTAAAACACTAAGCTACTCTGTCCTTCTGTCAGTTTGTTGTAGAACATTGTTTAACAGTGACTGTATAATACAAATGTTTGTTTATTTAACATGTGGAAAATATCTACAGTTTGTGATTTTTTTTTATAACAAAAAACAGATTAGTTTGAATTGATTTTCACTATTTAAAAGCTAGTTTGTTTTTTCAACTAAAACAACGTACTTGAATAGCTATATTCTCAAAACTGCTATGTACCTGAATACTACTGATTGTAAAAACTACTTAACTACTACTTTAATAGACAACTTCTTAAACAATCAAGCTTTTATTAACACTTGGCTTTTAGTATTGTATGATAGTCCTTAGAGAATGAAACCAAAACAAGTTTGGTTGAAATATTATAAAATTCTCCTGTGTTTTCACTCGTGGTTTCTTAGAAATTCAAAAGGTTGTATTTTTGATTCAACATCTTTAGCTGCAATAAATCTGTGAAATAAATCAGTTCCAGTTAATACTGATACTTTGTTTTTATAGACTCATCAAAAGTTTATACACAATGTGTAGAGTTTGAAATTAAAAACTGGTTACTACATTCCAACTAAAAATTTCAGCCATCTTTACATATGCCAATCATTAATCCCATAAAATGTAGCAAAAGCTTTTTTTATAAGTAAAAGCAATGGTTACTGCTAGTTGAAAAGTTATCCCTTAAAGAATGACATTTAGTAAGAGTATGGGAAGTGAGTATCTTGTGTATACCTGCTACCAAAAAAAAAAAAAAGTACAAAAATTATCCTGTCCTTGCAAAAATCAGGTAGCCCAGCTAATAAACTAGGCTACCTCAAGTCTTTATTTTATTTTAGCTCAGTAATATTACTAAAATGCATCATGCCTGTATTTAATTCATTTATCTGCAACAATTAATGATATATCTAGCTGAGTTGAGATAGTAGGTTTTAAGATATAATTTTGAATGTTTCATTCTAAAATAATATAATTGATTGTGCTTTCACTGTTAATATTATTCAGTCAAAATTACTAACTTCATATCTAATCATATATATATAGTTTATATGTAAATTTCTCCTTTATTTGAATTGTTTCTGTAGTTTCCATCTGTATCAATAATAGGTTTTTCACGTGTTAACCATAAGCAATTACGAATTAATCAATAGTTATATTTCCGCCGAACAGATAAGTCAGCCAACCAGTCCACTGGAGTATTGCTTATACTGAATGTTTTCCACCAGTGAATGAAACAAACAACTCTTCCATGTCTAACTGTAAACATCCTACACTAAGCTCCCTCATTACAGCATTCAAAAGACACATTCCTGTCATATACAAGAATGTGCACAATTAGAAAAAATAAATCATACTAAACAATTAGAAAGGATAAGCTTTACAACTTGTACAAAATTTGGGTGAAGTCCATTCCATAACTGCCAAATGCATTTTAAGACATGACAACATTATCATATACAGAACTATTAACGGTTAATATTTTATAAAGAGCTCCCATGCTATGCTTGGAACTACTTCCTCTGTCACTGCTTGTGCACAGGCTGATGACCCATGATTAAACACTACAATTTCATCATAACAAGCTTCTTTGAAAGATGGCAGGATCAAATTCAGACCACACACTTTGATAAACTTTCCAAGACCAAATTTAAGCATATCAGGATGTTATGATTCCAATTTCTTTGACTATTTTTCTATGAACAGCTAGTGATTTCAAGGTATGGCTAGATAATGCCAAACCTATATAACTTTTGTTCATTACCTTGTTAATGATATAAAATATGCACAATTTCATTACAATAGCTTAGGAAGGATCAGACAGTTCTCTCTTCATAACCATAGTCCTCACTTTGATGATGAGGGTGTTGCTTCTATTGGCTGATTTGTGGTATTAAGTCCATTGTTGTTCTAAACACACTGCTGAGAAACTTTTGTTTCCAAGGAAAATATTGAAGGCTCCATTTTCCAACATTTTTGTCTTTTAGCTCTAGAAATCTCACTTTAAAAGTATCCATTCTCAGAAAAGACTGACATAAACCTCTGCGAGTCAACTCTGAAGGTAGTGCAATGTTGACCGATTATGATTTTTTTTGCAATTCATTTATATAAAAGTAAACATTGTATCATAGCAAATACTTGTACCACCACCACACCACTACATTCTTATAAAGTGTGTTTTCCAACTATAAAATGTGCTTCAACAATAAAAATATTACAATATCATTATTCAGGAAACAGTGTCAAATGCTAAACTACTGTAACAGTTTCAATGGACATATATATATATATATATATATACACACACACACACACACACACACACACACACACACAC